CTCAAGCTGAGTTTATCGCGCAATCCTGAAATATGTTTCAAGAAAACATTTATTACTATGACAAAAATGTTAAAACCCGGTTAACTTTGTTAGTGACTTTTTTAACCTAAAGTGAATAAAATTTTGAGCGGATCAAAAGTTTCCCAGAACTGTTTAAAACCAAATATAGTTTAGACGGAATTACTTGTCTCGACAAAGGTGTGCAACCCAAGCGATAGCAATATAGCTGATAACTGGAAATTAATACCCTGAAACGTTACTACAATTATCAATACATGTACGACGTCGTCAAATTCAATTTACAGTCGGAGTTAATCGGGCTCAGAATATATAACATACGTGGAGCAGAGAACTGACTACATATGTGACGAAAACTGCAAATCCAGCTCCTTTGTGCCGTACTTCACCAAATACATCTACAAAGTACAAATAAAAAAAAAAAAAGAAATAAAGGGTTCTGTCTTCTCAAGCAACACCAAATTCTAATAATAATGCTATACTTAAACTCACATTTTCTTAAAAATCTATGCATAGGCAAATCCCATGAAACTACCACGTCAACAAGTGAGCGTGGAAATTCAACTCGCCACCATCTGGAGATATATCCGCAGTCACTACCGGAAATAATCATAATGCCATGTGATAACGCTCCAACGAAATAGTGGCTAAAGCGAAATGACTGTGCGGTACCAAATGCCGTCAAAAACCAAAAGTCGGGGAACAAAACTTCGGTGGCACAAGTTGAAAAAAATGCAAAAACGAACGATATCAGTAAAATAACCAAACCACGAAACCCGTCAGCGACAACATCCTAAATCAACAGTCTTTAAAAAGCAGCAAATTCCAGTCAAAAAACTACAATAAACTGAAACAGAATAGGAAATTAAAAAAAAAGAAATTCACCTTTATTTGTCTTTAAATACAACTGGAAACTGATTTACCAAAATTCAACAGAAAAACAGCAAAACGAAAGAGTTTGAAGACTTTGCTTATGAAGAAATAAAGAGGTCACAAGATATGAAGAAGCAAATTCTTTGCCTTTTGGAGCTCAAAACAGTTTCGCAAGTCGTCTTTCTCAATAAGAAACAAAGAAACGAAATAAAATATTTAACTTGAAACACATCTTGTATTCATAAAAGAAAGCTGGAAGTCGTTTTAAGAATAGCTATAAACGAACAAGAAAACTGAAAAATTAAAAAACCTTTAAAGCTCCCTCCTCCAATGAATCACGGAACTGGCGAAATGAAATCCATGGTCCAAACATTAATGTAGCGGGATCTAACAAGTATGCACAAAAAGATATCAACGACATATTGTTGACAGCTCCATTATTTACGTCAAAATAAACAGACACAAATTTCATGATCATGACCATGAAACAGCCTCTTGACGAAATAAACGTTTCTGCTGTATAAATGTACTGCCTGGAAAAATTACTGATAAAAAAACACAATATCCCCAAAAAAAATTGGTAAGGTATATGCTAAAAAAAACTTACTGCTGGAACCAGCAGCAAAGGTTAAGAAGGAAATTGCATGAAGGTAATCATACATTTGACGATACTACTAATATACATCTTGACCAGCAAGTGGACAAATTTAAGATAACAACTAACCAAAACAGCAAGGAACCAAGTCCGTAAGCTAGAGCTAGATAGCCAAGGTAGTTTGGAAGAACGAAGCTAATGAGATGAAACGATAAAAGACTCAAAAAAAATTTCAAAACCCGGTGTAGAGCACTGTCTTGAAATTTCAGAAATATAAGGCCAGACACTGCCACAGTAACTTCCAAGAAAGACTTGCTTAATAAACCTGAAGGAAATAGACCGTGATACAATAATACGCAGACCACGATCAAAAACTTCAGCATAATAAAAGTAACAAGGAATCCTTTCGTTCAAAGACCTCACTTACGATTAAAAAGTGCATTTAAATTCAAGTCATGGCTCGTTACCCTTCTTGTTCAGCACGGTAAGAAATCTTCTAAAAATGGCGAAGAAAAGCAGTTTGACCAGTAGAGGCGTAAGTGACTCAACTGTCCCTCTAAAACATGCAGTCAGATGGCTTCGTAAAGGATGCAACATGTATTCTGCAGTTTCATCATCAATAAAGTACATGTCATCTTCGTCGTTAAAAGCAGTGGTGGGATCTAGCATTCCTGAATCAAAACATCGCATTGATCAGAAATTAGTTTTTACTTCCATCAAAAAAGTCACGAGCACAAGAACTGATTAAAAAAAGATAAATTCGGTGAAAAAAGCTTGAGAATGATATAAGTCCAGCTAATTTCCTATTTTCCCCCTCTTTTTCCATTACTAATCCTATTATCATTTTTTTTTTCTGGCTAATACAAGAGTTTGTAGAAAAAAACCAAATGAGAAACTCGCAGCTTTCAAAACAAAAAGAGTAAACAAATAGTTGAAATACAAGGACAGAACACCTGATTAAACGTCATAAATCTAAAAAACACAGGAACTAAGCACATAGCTGAAAAAAAAAAAGAAAAGCAGAAAAAAACCCCAGTTTTTAAACATATCCTAAAATATTAACACATTCCAGCAAACAATTCAGAAGGACCTAATTTTGAGTTCTTCTAGCATAGGACTGTTATGTTTAAGCAAGGCTAGCCATACAGTGCTCGAAGCTATAGAAGTTTGCCTAAGAAAATTTCTAACTTCAGTTTTTGACCTTAAAACGGAAAAATGACCTGCTCGACGGGAAACACATACTTGGCCAGATGGCCGCATGACTCTCAAAAACTCTGGATCATTGAAATTTGATTTTTAAACGAATAGAAAACTGAAGAATTCCCTGAGACATCAGTGAGCGGCTCAAGTTCTTTCAAACACAGCATTCCGGACATGTGGCATGAAAAACTTGGTTATTCAAAATTAATACAACAAGTAAGGTGATTGTAAAAAAGTACCTACACAAATTGACAAGTTCCTGTTGAAACAACAGTAGAAAAAAGAGTTGAACGATGTTGAACAGAAACCCTAATCTGAGCAGGCGAAGGAATGATATCACAGCCTACAAAAAGTGACTTTCCGGTTAACAGGTGCCTTTTCTCTGAATCCAGCCCCTGCCCCGCATTTTCGGTTTTCCATTGCTACAACTACAACCATAATTGCTCGTGGCTTTCTATTTGATAAATTATATTTCCATGTAAGCTTTATTTTACACTGACACAGTTTCAACGGGGATATATTAACGAAAATGATAAGCTGAAAAGGTGCTACTCGTAGCCTTACATCTTCTTCCAAATTTTTGCTAGAAGAAAAAAGTTAGTGTTCATCGCGCATAGAAGAAACGAAAACAAATATTATCCAAGTCCCATGATAATTCCGCCTAAATGACCCAAGTTCGGGTCACACAGTCCACTGTTCAAAAAATCACGTGTTAAAACATGCTACTATGCTAGCGCAGTTGAAAGAAGAATTTGTTTGAAATCGCTTTCATCACAGCAAATTTGAGATAAACTTGGAATAAAAACGTGACTTTGGAGGACTGAATGTCTCATGCAGTTCAAGGTTTATTTCAATTAAAAGATGCCTTGAGTTGAAAGTCGTATATTGTTAAAATGACTAGCAGCGATCTTAAATACTCCGCTAAAACTTTTTGAAGATAACTAAACGTCACAGTTGTATGACCCTCCATAGTGTTTGAACAGATCGCTAAACCTGCATCATCGATGAAACAGAATACCTACTATGCGAGTTTTCCGACCCACACCAAAAAATGCCATACAAAAACAGTAACCAATATAAAAAACGCGCCAAAAAATATGCAGCTCTCAAAATTGGTGAAAAACCTTCCAATTAAGTATAAAAATGTGACCATCCAAGTGAAAAGTGGAAAATCTGAAAAATTACTGTACCAACAAGAGAAATTTACTGTATTATTTCTATGAAGACAATGGTATACTAACAAAAAATGTAACAGCGATGATAAGATCAAAATGACGGAAGACAACGACAACAAAATTTGGAGTGACTGTTGCTGTAATAACTCGTTTTCTTTTGAGGTTCTCTGCAGTATCCTGATTGATGTTTTCAAAATTTTAATTTTATCTGAAAGTACTCAGCAAAATTTTTTTGGCCACTGAAGTTATTTCTTCATTTCCTAAAATTTTTTCATCACCTCTGGGACGGTAAATTCGTCCGGTATATAGACAAAACATGACCCCAAACCTTCAGAGTGATATAATGACGCATGCATTTAAAGAACAGCCTAAGATACCAGGAAAAAATATATAAATATATAAATAAATAAATATATATATATATATA